CGGGGCACCGGAGGCCGGGCCCACACCGACGCCCGCCTGCGCTCCCCTCGCAGCCCAAGATGACGGAATACGACAAGCGCTGCTGCTGCCTGCGCGAGATCCAGCAGACGGAGGACAAGTACACGGACACGCTGGGCTCCATCCAGCAGGTGCGCCCTCTGCCACAGGGTCTTGCTAAATCGCCCAGGCTGGCCTTGGACTTGCAATCCTCCTGCCTCAGCCTCCTGAGTAGCTGGGATCATAGGTGTGCACTACCGTGCCCATGCCCAGCTTTCTCCTTTTTTTGCATAACACTGAGGTTTGAACCCATAGCCCTTTCACTGAGATACAACCCTATCCCTTTTTTATTTACTAAAAAAAAGCTTTTTTTTGAGACAAGATCTCACTAAGTCACTTCGTTGCCCAGGTTGGGTTTGAATTTGTAGCCCCCTTCCTCAGCCTCCCAATTAGCTGGGATCACAGGTGTGTACCACCTAGCCTGACCTTCTCCCTGTCCTTTAAAAATCAGTTTTATGGCTGGGTGTGGCAGCCCACACCCGTAATCCCAGCTCTCTGGAGGCTGAGGCAGGAGGATCTCTGTGAGTTCGAGACCAGCCTGGGCTACACAGTGAGTTCCAGGTCAGTCTCAACTACGCAGTGAGACCCTGTCTCAAAAAGCCAAAAAAAAAAAAAATCAGTTTTATGGAGGGCTGGGGATTTCACTCTGTCTCTGTCTCCCCCTGTCCTTTTCTCTGACGGGCTGAGCACGGGCGCGGGGTCTCACTCCCCTTCCCCTTCTGTTCCCTGGGTACAGCACTTTATGAAACCCCTGCAGCGGTTTCTCAAGCCCCAGGACATGGAGATAATCTTCATCAATATGGAGGTGGGCCGGCCGGTCTCTGTAGTGGGGCTCTGCGTCTGCCCCGGGGGTGGGGTGCGAGCTGGGCGGGCGACTCCCCAGCCCTGACGCTGAGCGGCTGTCCCCTCCGCGGATCCTCACAGGACCTGCTCCGTGTTCACACCCACTTCCTGAAGGAGATGAAGGAGGCTCTGGCCACCTCGGGGGCACCCACCCTGTACCAGGTCTTCATCAAATACAAGGAGAGGTGAGCCCGGGTCACTGCCCTTCCCGTGCCGGGCACTCCGGAGACGTCACCCTCCGGGGTCAGGCAGGGAGGGGCGCTCCCTGAGCGCGCACGGGTCAGGGGCTTCCCACCCTGGCTCCAGTTCCCACCTCTGCTGTGTGACCCTTGGGAAAGGGCTCTACCTCTCTGTGCAACTGCTTTTCTTTGTCTACTCACCGGTGTTGATGGGGGCTGTGGTGAGAGCTGAATCAATCCATGTGTCGGTGCTCAGCACAGGGCCCGGTACACACTAGGCAGTTAATAAGTGCTTGTAAATAAATGAACAACAGGCAGAGACTGTATGCTACATGTCAAGCCCTCTGGTAAGAGCCCCTTCAAGGGGCAATCAAAAAATACGGTGTGTGTTTAAATTTTTAAAAAATTTAACCAGGGGTGGTGGCACACACCCAGTTATCCCAGCACTCAGGAGGCTGAGGCAGGAGGATCACCATGAGTCTGAGGTCAGCCTGGGCCTCATAGTGGGTTCAAGACCAGCCTGAACTATATAGTGAGGTCTCATCTCAAAATGACCAAAGATTTTTTTTTATTACAGCAAAAGACTCCTTACCATGGGATCCCCCTCTAAATCCGCCCCTTCACTCCACACGTGTACTCCAGCACCCTTGCCACTTTCTGAAGCCATCCTCGAAGTCCTCCCTCGTGTGTGCCTTTCGATGTGGGGGTCCTGGCCTGCCTCGGGGTCCCGAATGGGTTCAAAATGACCTTTCATGGTTTTGCGGACTTCGGGGAGGAGGCACAGTGTCGTGGCACCAGCTGGGAGGTTAGGGTGCACTGTGGCTGTCTAGGAGCTGCCTCTCCGTGGTGCGTTTTCTTTTGATCTCACCTCCTAGAGACCCTCAGGAAACAGCACTTCCAGGACGGCGGCAGAAAGTGGCCAGAGAGATGGGATGAGTGTGTTGAAAGCCAAGGGAAGGTTTTAGAGGGGGTTCGTGACAATGTGTCACTGACTGTCGTACGTCTTTAAAATTTAAACCCTCGCCGTGTTTTCCAGTCACCCCTCGTCTGTGCCTGGGTGGATGCACTATCGCTAGGCCCATTTCACAGATGGGGAGACTGAGTTTCAGGGTCATCTCTCTGGGACGAGAGAGGCCAGGATGGACGCCAAGACCCGCGTGACGTGGGTGCCAGCCACCCTCACCTGGAGGCCCGTTCCCTCCTCTTTGCAGGTTCCTGGTCTACGGCCGCTACTGCAGCCAGGTGGAGTCAGCCAGCAAACACCTGGACCAGGTGGCCACGGCCCGCGAGGACGTGCAGATGAAGCTGGAGGTGGGGGCCTGGGTGTCCTCGGCGGGGGGTCCCCCTCTTTCCCAACCCCGGGGACTGTAAGGAACCAAGCCTGACCCCAAACGGAATCCCACTCTGGCTGAACTCCAGCCTCACCCTGAGCCCCTAGCCCTGACCCCAGGCCGAGCCCCGATTCTCAGCAGAACCCCAGCTGCGATCCCGGTGTCTCCCGGCAGCCCCAGGTGGCCTCCCTGGGTCTTCGGCTGCTCCTCACCCCGCTGCCCCCTTTGGTACCTTTCTCCGTATGTTTCCGCGGGCGATGTGGGGCTTCTGCGAGGCCCTGTTGCCCCCACCCCTCCCCTCCCGTCCTCTGCTGCCATCCAGCCCCCCATCGTGACACCCTGTCCCGTACCCCAGGAATGTTCTCAGAGAGCCAACAACGGCAGGTTCACCCTGCGGGACCTGCTGATGGTCCCCATGCAAAGAGTGCTGAAATACCACCTCCTTCTCCAGGTAGGCGCAGGCGGGGTCCCCAGGCGGGGCTTGGGGGTGACGTCCGGCCTGCGGGGAGAAAGGCAGCTCAGAGGGGTCTGCTGGGAAGGCTCCCGGGAGGAGAGGGCGGCCGGGTGACCGGGTGCTTGTTCTCGCAGGAGCTGGTGAAACACACGCCGGACGCCGTGG